TGTAATCCGCGCCGCTCCAAATAATGACATTTTCTCCAATACATCCCAAAAGCTGAAAAGCAGAAAATAATATCCAGGCTCCAGAGATAAGGCAAGTGCCCAAGGGAAAGGGGCTCTAAAATATTCATGCGGTTGGAGATTGCGCGTCGGAAACGGCCGTTCCCAGCGGCGATGTTGGGGGACTGATGAATTTAGTTACTGCTCCTTCATATTTATCGCTCAATAAACAAGACAAGCGTCTTTACAACTCCGGGCAAGACTAATTTGGGCATTTCAGCGCGGAGGAAATAGCTTTTCCGGACAACATGATGTTTGGATAATGAGTGTGTTTCTCCCCAAATGAGCCCATTTTTAATTGATCCTGGCTGGAAGTAGTGAGTGTCCAAGGGCTTTTGCAAAGCGATGGGCAACGGGGCTGGAAAACCTGACCAGGGACCTGCCGCTGATGGAGATGTCCCACTCCGTGGGGCTTAGAGAGGATTTTTCCAAAGCGGAGAACCCCCCTGTAAGGTTTTATTTCACAGCAGCCCAGTTGAAATTAAGGCTATTTTCATAAAAGTGTCAGCGACCAAAGCCGTAGCGCCCGGGCCACATTAAAGCGCAGATGACCTTTCGGAGAGCGGGGGGTTTGTGGGCGGTGTAAATCCCGGCGCGTTGGCAGGTTGTGACCGGGACGTCGGAGCGTCACCGGGAGGGCACTCGGAGCCGCGCGAGGGCTGCGACCCGGGGCTTCCTGCAGGAATCGCTTTTATCTGTCTATTTATTGGCTTCCTCCTCCTCTTATCATTACTGGAACTATTTTAGATTAATATCTTTCAATAACTTTTTTATTTATTGCTGTGAAGACAAGGAAATTCCCTTTTAATGAAAGCCGAGCACCTTGCACAATGTCGCGATTCCAAAATCTGCAATTTTCAACCATTTCACAGAATTTGTGCCAAAATCCCTAGTGTTAACCAGCTCTGATCTTTTTTTCCACCTTTCACATCACAACCGAGCAATGCGGCCGTTCTTTTTATGTTTGTATTTATTATGAAATACCCGTTTAGACCCCAGAACCACAACCTGGCAGTTTCAGAAGCACCTGGGGTTGCCTAGAGTGACTCTTCACTGCCCGGCTTCTCGAAACGTCCTTGCAGAAGTGCTCTTGTCTCCATTAATGTCCCATGGAATTGAACTCAAAATTTTACTCCTTTTGTGCTGGAAATGTCAGGAAAAAAGAAGCTGCCCTGTCCACCTCGGCCCTCCCGGGATCCTGGGGAGCTGCTCCTGCCTCCTGCACCCGGCACAAGGCAAGGGGTGCCCAGGATGTGGCGTGGGCAGGATAGGGGATAGCCGGGATGTGGGAGAGCTGGGATACAGGATGCCCAGGATGTGGCATGGATGGGACACGGGATATTCGGGACATGGGATCCCCATGGTGCAGGATGCCCAGGATGTGGTATTCCCAGGCTGTGGGTATCTTAGTACATGGGATGCCCATAGCGCAGATCCATGGTGCAGGATGCCCGGGTTTTGGGATGCCCATGGTGTGGGATGCCCGGGGTGCAGGATTCCTTTGTCCTGCTGCCCCCCAGGCCGCCACGGTCCTGATTTCCTACCCAGAGGAGCAGAACCCATGAAAAATCATCTGCCTCTTTGGGAGCTCTTTGCATCTAAAGCACGGGCAACACAGGCAACACTTCCCTGTTCCCGGTACACGGAGCCACAGGCTGAAGTCTAAACAGAGCAAACTACCAAAAAACTGGTTTAATTACATTTTTTTTTCTTTTATACAGAGCTGACAATCGTAGGATCAGTGGGATTTCCAATCTATCGAGACGGTTCCAAGTCAGAAAGGTAGAAAACAAACAGTAGAAAAAAGCGCCTGGGATTGGGGCTGGGACGGGAGCTGAGGCTGCTCCGGGGCCGGCGCCAGCTCCCTGCCCGGCGCCCTCCCTTCTCCCTTTGAGCTTCTCCTTTTATTTCGGTGGGTGAGGAAGCCCTGCAGGCACCGAGGTGCAGGCAGGATCTTGGCTCTGCCTCTCCGGGTGCTGCACAGGGAGGGATTTCCCTCCAAGCAGTTTTTGTATGGATGAAGGGAGGACCAGCGCTGTTTGCTTCCATAGGCTTCTAATTTCCTTGACTTTTTTCCCAGTCTTATCCACTTACTCAGTGGGTCTGCACCCAGATACTGCCTCTCCCCTTATTACCACCAACATTGAGCTTTTTGCTGTTTAAATATCTTAAAAAAAATAAAAATCAACAGTGGGAAGCAGGCGGAGGTTTCGGCCCAGGCGCTTCCCACCGCCCAGGGAAGCACCGGAGCGGGAGCAGGATCCCGGGGAGCTCCGTGTGGCTCTCGCACCATCATCACCCTGGAGGGGAAACTTTGGGGCTCCCAAACTGGCCTCGTGCTTAAAAGGTTTCAGCCACGAGCCGAGGAAGAGGAAAGGCTCGTTAGACAAATAAATACCTGGATTCAACAGCAGGAAATGCCCTGTCGCGGCTTGGAGCGAGTCCCTGCCCGCTGCCCGCGCGGGATGCGATCCCTGAGGGAGCAGCCGGGGAGCAGCTGGGGAGTGGGGGCGCCCCGGGAGCTCGGCCGGGATCCCGGCTTTGGGATGCTTCATCCTGGCTGCCGTTTCATCCCAACGTGGCTGGAAAAGCGGGAAGGTTTGAGGAAGGCCCGGAAGGGGCAGTTAGTTGAATTCCTTCATTTTTTTTCCTTGGAAAAACATTCCAGGGGGGGGATCCCTGTCCTAAACATCACGGCTCCCGGCAGCATGCATGAGACCCAGTATCTGCCCATTAACCAGCAAGGGGTTTTGTGGCCTCAAGATGCAACGTTTTGGGTCCCCCGACTTAAAAAGGGGGGGAAACCAGTAAGGATCGTGGCACGTTGTTGTAAGTGCTGGGCTGCATCCGTGGTTGGGCAGGGATCCGGCAGGGAAGTGGCTTTGGCCATTTGCCCTCTGCGATCCGTGGGGAAGCTGCAGATGGAGCAGGGACACCCCAAAACATCCCATTTCCAGCTCTCTCCCCCAGCTCGGGGAGACCCGGATGGCTTTCCAGGCCCGAAATGCTCCAGCTAAACCAACAACCCGGCCCAAAGGCGATTCTTGGGAATAAACCTCTGGACAGTTCCAAACTCAGCTAAATCCGGACTCCTGTTCACCTTCCTTCTCGTTTTCCAGGTGAATTCCCAAGCAACCTCTCCCAGCACGTTTGTTTCCACACAGCATCCGGGCACGGAGGCACCAGGATCCCAGCGATCGGCTCCTCCGCATCCAACTCGCCATCCCCAGCTCTGTGCCTCAGCCTCGGAAAATCCAGGTAAGGTGGCTTCATCCTAACGAATTCCTCAGATTTGGAGGCTTCCCTGGATGGGTCCCACCAGTGCGGATTGACAAAAGCATAAAAGAAACCCCAAAAAAGAGGAAAAGCTAAACGCCTAAAAATAGCCTTTAAAGATTCACATCCATCTTGGGCTGTCTCAAACCAGGGCACAGGCTGCGCTGGTTTAAGCCATTACATTTCTGCATAATTATAATTATTTAAAAGAAAAACCCTACTCGTGACATACTATCATGTTTCAACTAGTCAAATGGCACAGCATTTCCCTTTAATAAAAGGAAGTAGTGACAAATACTTGTTACTATTACAATATCACAAGAATATGATATTAAATTAATAGCGTGGTCACAGCCGCAGGATCTTCTGAGCTGAAAGCTGCTCTAGGAAGTCGTGTGTTCACTTTGGCAACAGGATTTATTCAGTGTGAACTGCAGCGCTGCAGGTGAAACCCAGCGGTGCGAGGAGCTCGGCTGGAGCGGGCGGGAACAGGGGATTTGGATCCGCTTGGATCAGAGGGCGAAACCTGGCGGATGGGGAGGGACGGAGCCAGGGCTGAGCCCGGGCTATGTGTCCTGCAGCTCTGGACCAAATGTGGCCAAATTTGGCTGCTTTTGGCCCCCTGGGCTTTTCCGATTGTGTGTTGGAGGGCTATGGCAAGAGCGTGTGTCCCAGTGGAGTTAAAGCCCTGGGATGTGCTAAGGCAGAGCGCTTCGGGCCCTCAGGAGCCGCGAGGAGCTGCGGATTTGCTCCATGTTTAAGCTGTTGGGCATCTCCTCCTGCTCCCCTCTCCCGATCCCAAGGGGCTCTGTTGTGGGTGGACGCCCGGAGATCCCTGTACCAGGTGGGTTCCTTCATCCCTTATTCCCGCATTCGGGAAGGGCGGGAGGGACCCCGTGGGAGCAGCACTCACTCCCACAGGGCTGTTTGGGTGCTGGTGTGGGACAGGAGAGGCTCCCCGGGGTGAGGTGTCAATGCCACCCTTCGGATCCCATCCCGCAGGATGCGGTATTTCCATATTTCCACAGCTCCACGTGCCAAGCGCGAAGCCAATGGGGAAGTTTCTGACACAAGGGACCATCCCACCGGAACCACTTAAGAACCCGCCCTCATTATGTTTTAAACTTCAGCTCGTTGCCTCTCCTGACTCTTTTCACCCTTGAAAGGCGGGACAGGACTTTTAGGAAGAGCTCAGCCCTTGGCATTCCCCTTCTTTTAGGCATCCCGGGACAGGGCACAGCCCCGCGTTGGGCCAGGTCCGGGGGGGGTCCCACACAAACCCTCTCTTTGGTCTCGGGGGCTCTTGCTCGGCCCGCAGGGCCCTGAGCATCCTGCACCCTCCCACGGGAGCCTCCTCTCCTCCTCCTTCCCGACCGGGGGCTCCACGCTTCCCATCTTCTCCAAGTGCTGCACTGGGCTGGCCTCATCCGCGCTCGCTCCCGAGACCTCCCCGCCACACAGGGCCACCCCGACAGTCTTTAAAGGAAAAGAAATAAACAGAAATAAACCCCAAAATAACCAACCATGGTCCAACTCTGGGCCACACGGGCGCCCGGCGGGCACCGCTACGTGCCTAAAGTAAAGCTCAAACATAACACGAGCTCGCCCGTGTCCGCCGCTGCACGCTTGAGGTAGAACATTGCTTTGAAGGTCTGGAAGTGCTTTACATCATTGGGACGACAAGGACGAGGACGACGAGGACGAGGGACGACGACGAAGAGGAGAGCGCGGCCGCCCGGAGCGCGGCGGCTGAGGTAGGACCGGGCTCGGAGGGAGCGAGCGCCGCGCTGCCGAACACGAAGGAAGACGCAGATACTTCTGCTTCCCAGAAGACATTCATTCCGGTTGAGGTAGGTGCGGATTTCACTCGGGTGGTTTGTCCAAGTCTTTCGGTAGCCCTTGGGCAGGCTGCCTTTGATACACACTCTTTTTTGGGTGTGTTTGTATGGTTTTTCTTATTTTTTAGAGTCATTCAGCAAAAAAAAGCATCCTGAGAAAAAGAGAAAAGTGTACAAAAAGTCATCGAGTCCATGGAGCAGGTGGCCTTCCCGGGCCTCCAATTTTTTGGAGTCAAGTTAGAAGGATTTCTCCTCATCCAGTCTTCTTGAAATTAAAAAATAGATCCCAAAAGGACTCCTAAAGCTGCCAATCAGGAAGAAGTCCATGACGCCAAGAGGAGGCGACTGCCGCATTCCCAGTCTACTGGAGCCGGGAGTGTTAGGCAAAAGGAGGCTTTTCCTTAGCAGCCCTGGGAAAACCCATCCAGACCCAGCTCGGGAACATGGCAATCACAAGAAGGAGGCCAGAACCAGGTGGGTAAGATCAGCTTCACAGTTTCAAAAAGGCTGTGTGTGTGTGTATATATATATATAGATATATATATATGTATATTTATATATATATATAAAAAAATAAAGCAAAACAAAAAAATAACAATCAGACCGTAGAAATCTTAAATTGACCTGAGAATCGTTGTAAAGGTGTCACCAGCCGTGGGTTTGGTTTCTGCTGACTCCTCGGAGGGGCTCGGCGCGCGGCGCTTTATCCTTCCCTGGCCGGCCCGGGGCCGGGAGCCGGCGGCTCCGGCGGCTCCTCCTCGATGACGCCAAAGTCCTCGCGCGGCAGCGGGGACAGCTGGGTGTCCCCGTGGGATGCGGGAAGCCCTGGAGCCGGCTGCGGGGAGAGAAAACGAGATTGTGGCACGCTGTGGAGGTGCCCGCCGCGCGGCCGCGTCTTTGCCGCCGGCTCTCACCGCCTTGTCCCGGGAAGGCGCCGCCGGGAAGAGCCGCTCCAGCTCGTTGAGGTCCAGCCGCTTGCCGCCGAAGGGGCGCTCGTCGCGGCGCGCGGCGCCGTTGAGGCCGCTCCGCTGGCCGCGCGGCGCCTGCGCCGGCGCCAGCTGCTCCTGCACGTTCTTGCACGTGAGCAGCCTGCGGAGAGCGCGGGGTGAGCGAGGGCCGCGCCGCGCTCGCCGCCCAAGCCCAAACCGCCGGGTTGTGGCCCCAGCCTCCTTCCCGAGGCAGCTCCCTCTTCTACAGCCGCCTCTCCGCGAGCGGCTTGTGCTTTGCTTTCTGAAGCAGAAACTCCCGTGTTCCCAGGAAGCAGCCGGTTCTTGGGCCGGGACCGTGCTGGGGTGGGAGGCCCCGAGGTCCCCACGCGCGGGGTGAGTCCCCCTGCTGCCCCACGAGCAGCCTCAGCGGCAGCTCCTACCTTCCTCTGTAGCCGAACATGAGGAAGAGGACGCAGAATATGATGCACGTGACACCGATGTGGATCCCGATGATGATGCCCGTCGTGGAGGTCTTATTGCTCTGCTCGTCCTTCATGCAGTCGCAGGGGGCGTTCAGCACTGGCGGGGGAGAAGGGGGGATCAGCAATTGCTCCCACAGGCCTCCCACTTCCCTCGCCAACCCCGGCAGCTCCTCACCTGTCCTTTCCACAGGTTCTCTCAGGGACACAAAGCGCACGGTTGAGTTGCCATCCCCGTGCTGGTTGTAGGCCAGGAGCTTCACTTCGTACACCACTGACGTGTCTGTTTGGAGAGAGGCACAAGAAGGGCATCATAGACCCGAAACCTTCAGCTTCTTGCCCCACGAGGGTCCTTTTTTTGGGAAACACACAGGGACAAATAACCCAGCAGGGCAAAAGGGCAAACTTTGCACCCCAGCACCCAAAGAACCTCGGGGGAGCTGCAGCATCTCCCTTCAGCAGCCACCCCACGGGCCCAGGCCGGTCCCCCCTCGCTTACCCAGGTGGGTGATGTTGTACGTGGTGACATTGCTGGGCAGCAGCACAGGGCCGGTGTATTGCGAGACGTGGACTTTGCGGTAGAAGAGCTTGAAGCCCTCGTGCTGGCCCAGCTTCATGGAGGGCTCCCAGGTGGCCTGGACCGCGGTGCTGTTGATGACTTTGATGAAGAGGGACGGCATCGCGGGCACTGGAACAGAGGAAGACAGCAGGGCCGTGTGAGACTGAGACAAGCAGCGCAGGCTCTGGATTGCTTTTGAATTTCATCACTAAGTTCCATGAGTTTCCCAGGTTATCCTAAGTTCAGCAAGCAAAGAGGCTGCATCCGACTGGCTGCAAGTCGGGCCAGGGCAGGAACGCAGCGACTGGGAATGCGCTCCCCGCTCCCACTCCTCTGCCCTCGCCTGGGGGCTGCGAGGCCCTCCGGAGCCATTAATCCCTGAGGAAGGGAGCAACCACGAGGGATGGAGGCAGAGGGATCCGACCCAAGAGCAGGAGGTGAAACGCTGCTCCTGGGCCCCTCTTGGCACCAAGCATGGGCTGCTTCGGAGCTTGGACCACACTCCTGCGACTGGGACCCGTTCAGTGGGAGCCCTGGATGCCCCGGCAGCCCAGGATGCTGCCCGGCAGTGCCCACGCGCTTACCTGCCCTTAGGGATGCACAGGGAAGATGTCCCTGCTGCTGCCCGCTGTCACCGAGACCTGATGCACAGGCCCCTGGGAGGCCCTTCGCTCCCGCCAGTGGCAGGGCCATCAAAGCCAGAGCCCCTGCCCTCGTGCTGGGGTGTCACTGCCCCTTGCTCCCGCGGCCCAGGGCTGCCTAACGTGAGCCTGCCCCATTGCTGCAGCTGAGCGGGCAGGGCTGCAAACCGGGGCGTCCTGCGGGCCCCGGGCGCCTCTCCCGCCCTCCCTCTCGCTGCTCACATCGATGCAGAGACGTGTCTCAGCACAACCCGGCCACAGTGAGTATTGTTTAATTAGTTTTGCATCTAATTCCCACCAAAGGTTGCCTGCTCCATCGCTTCCCAAGCCTCCTGTGCCATTCCAAAGTGCCCGGTACCGCAGCCCTCTGCCCGGCCCATGGGCTCTGCTCCTCCAGCACCCTCAGGTCTGGAGGCAGGGCTAGTTTCCAGTCCCAGTTCCAAGCTCACAAGTCCCCAGGCCCAAAGCCCTGGGGCTCCCCCTGGACCCCTGCAGCTTTTTGCCCTGTTATCCCCACACAAACAAACACCGAGCTGGGCCGTCCTCATTTGTGAAGAGTTGGCTTTATTTTATGGTTGCAGAGCCTTACAGTTAATAAAAACCACAAGAATCTCTCTCCTTCAAAGTAAGCAATAGATAATATTTATTCAAGCGTGGAGTATAGATAGATATATTTGTATATTCAAACTTGGCGTATATATAGATATATTTGTATATGTGTAATATCGCTTATATGTATGCACTTGTAGAGTGCATGTGCTGTTCATAAGGCCATTACACAAGTAAGTGTATACAGAAGGGAGTATATTTGTGTGTGTGTGTATAGCTAAATGCACACACGAGGGTATATGTGCTTCACAGAAGTATATATAAGACATAACGTGTATCTGAGGCCTCTCCCTCAAAGCTAAGGGCTGGGATATTCGTTTTCCTCTTCGGTGCTGTTTGGAATTTTCCCCAGGTCATTTCAACTTTCTTCTTGAAGGCGTCTTTAGCCGAAGCTGACTAAAGGAACTAGGGCTAGGTCTTCATCCTAGAGAAATGTCAAAAAGTCCTGGAGAAAACCCTAAAAAGCATTAAAAGACAAGGACAGGGGTGTGCGCTGCGTAACGAAGCGGATACGGGTTGCAATTTAACCCCCCTCGGCATCTGTGGAAGGCTGGAAAGGAGCCCCAAGCTGAGCGAGTCCAGTGGGAGCAATCCCGGCCGCTCCCGGCGGGAAGGCAGGATTACTGCCAGACAGAAAAGCAGGCAGTGCTGGGGAAAGGGGAACGGACCCCACGGAGGGCAGGAAGGGCCGTCCCGCAAGAGCAGCGTAAGGAGGACGAACGTTAACTTGCTTAGTTGCTCTTTGGCATCTTGTGTTCTTCCTTCCATCCCCATCATCGCTGCTCCAAGGGAGAGCCTCACTTCCAGAAAGAGCAGGTATTTGAGGCCAACCTCCCCAAAGGCAAAAGCAGCCCCAGTCCTTCCTGCACCGTATTCCCGCTCCAAAGAACAGCCGCACCTGAACACAGCGATTCCCGCTCCGGGCAGTGTCCTGGCCCCAGGGCCTCGAGGCGCCCCACAAGGGCAGAGCAGCCCCGTGTCCCAGCCCAGGTGAGGCGGCACGCGACTTCCCAACCCACGGACACCTCGGGAAGATGGGAAGCAGCAGCCTGGCCGCACACAAACCTGGGTCGGGGCTGCCCTGCAGTCTCTTGCAGCCAACCTGCCTATAAATCTAGTCAGAACTGGGTGTTTTAAGTCTCTCTACATCCTCCCACACGACAAACCCTAGCTAGGGTTGAGTAATTTTAAAGGGGACGATTTGTCCATCAGGATTCTGTAGCTTCTTGTTGGAACTCTGTTATACAGGACAAGCCTTTTTTAAGGACAGGAGATGCCTTGAAACTTCACTGAGCCAAGAAATTTATGATCCCCTTACTGGATACCTAACTATACCTATCGTGCTTGAAGGTAATAATGTAAAAAAGTCCTGCTTGACCCAAACCTCTCCAAAATGCACCAGGCTCTATGAAGCATGGCTGGTTTTCAGCTGCTGGAGCTGAACTCAGAGCATCAGGTCAAGGAGTTTCAAGTTTTAGCTTACTCAATCCCTCCACCTCTAAATTGGAAGGAAAAACAAACTCAAAGGGTGACTAATGCCCTGTCGAGTGCCAGAGAAATAAACCTGCAGGGTAACAACCCAACAGGGCAAGGATTTATTGGCGTTGTTACTTAAATGCTGCAATAAATGTCTGCAATAGCTGAAAACGGAATGAGATTTGGATCCCCTACCTGGAAGTCAATCCACTCCTCGCTCTGATCCTAAATCACATCCTCATACCCAAGGCCCTCTCTGCTCCAAATTCATAATTACTGAGTGTTCCAGAGAAAGATGCAATGTTCCAAACAAATTACTCTCAGGCATGTGAGATAAGCCAGGAAGGATCCAGAGATCCAGAAGAGTCTGTGGGAAAACGCTCCGACCGATGGCTGGTCCCAGCTGACAGGTCCCACAGGGGCTGTGGTTCCTGCCTGGTGTCTGTGCACAAGTAACGTGCATTACAGCGTGATGGCACCAAGTTTCCTTCTGGGGGAATTAACCGGTGGCCACATCTGGGAGACAACGTCAGGGAAAAGCCTTGGACACTGCCCTGACTTTCCACGGAAACAGAGGCTGCTCCAAGGCGCTCGGCTGGGGCAGCTCAGCTCCCATGTGCTGTCTCCAGGATGGAGCAGAGCAAAACTCTAATTCTCAAAATGTGGCATCTCACAGGACGAGCTGGGGGTACCAGAGCTGCTGGAGATGCCGGGAAGCTTCCCGAGCAATGAACCTGCCATTCAGGAAAGCCAGGAGCAGCTGCGACGCACGCGGCGCTCGCCCCCGGCTCCAGCGTAAGCCACAAGCACCAGGCTCCAGAGAGCCGCTCAGCCCCCACGTAAGGGTACAAATGACTTTGCCACGAGCTCGCAGGGACGAGCGGCAGCGGGAGGCGGCGGCAGCAGTGCCAACGTGCCAAGGGGCTGGCAGGGCGCCCTGCACCACGGCACGTTCAGGCAGGGGCGAGCTCGGGCGCTGAGGCTCCCTTACCTTCCCCGAGCGTGCTCACCACCGTGACGTCCGAGGCCTTGCTGGCACCCCGGGACGTGTAGGCCTTTATGTAGAAGCTGTAGCTCGTCGAGGGCTCTAAATCAGTCACGAGCTGCTGGAACGTGCTCTTGCTGACAGCCTCCTGATACTCCATCTCCACGGGATCTGCAGCACAAAGAGCGGGAGGGCAGAGCCGCGTTAGGCTTTGCGAGACGTAAAGGGACTGGGCAGGCGCCGTGTTAGTTTTGTTCCGCACTGGGGGAATGTGTCTGCCCAGGGCACTGACATTTCCGCAAGCTTTGCCAGGGACCTAAGCGGGCAGCAAGGTCTCGAGCCTGCAGCAACACCCTCCTTCCCTCCCTAAAAGCAACCCCAGCCAGCGCTGGTGCCACCCGTGCTGCCAGCTCTGGGCTTGGAGGACAAAGGCACCAGGAACAGACGCTGTCCCTCTGAACAGGGCAAAGCCAGGCAGAGCTCAGGCCGGACCCCGAAAACCAGAAAATATCTTAAATTACTGCAGGTAACAGAGGCAGGGAGGCGGAATGCTAGTGCTGCTGCTCTCCTCCCGCCGTGGCAGCCACATCTGCCCGGGCTCTGTCTTGCAGGGAGCCGCAGATGGGAAAGGACACGGCGGCAGCACCGCGCGCAGCCCGGGTTTGCGCAGCCCCTCGCGGCGGCGCGGCGGGCGCCCTACCTGCAGCCCTGCGGATGTGCAGCACGTAGCCGATGATCTCCTTGGTGTTCTGCAGGGGCTCCCGCCACGACACCTGGATGGTGGTGGCGGACACCGTCCTGGCCTTGACGCCCTGCGGGGGCCCGGGCAGCCCGTCGGCCCAGAGCACGGTGAGGCGCGCGCTGGCCTGCGTGGAGCCCGCGCTGTTCTCCGCGATGCACTGGTAGATGGCCTCGTCCGCTTGGTTGATGCCGTAGATGGTGAGCGTGCTGCGGGGACACCAGCGGGACGAGCACCTCAGGCACGGGGATGCGGCACCGACAACCCTCCCATCCAAGTGCCCATCCACAGGTTGTCCTGCAGAGCTACGGCCCCAGCTACTGCCCTGCAGTCTCCAAAACCTGCTCCCCTCCAGCCAAACCCCAAAGCTTGTGACCAAATCCCGTTTTTTCTGCAAAACCTCTAAGTACATTTCCGACACATCCCAGCTGGCTTTCCCCGGCATCCGTCAGGTGCCTTTTTCAGCCTGAAGATGAAGAGTCTCTGGCTACCTCGGCCGAGAGCCTCCGTCGGCGGGTGCAGGGAGGACCAGCCTCCCTGTTCATCCCTCCGGAGCCGCACGGCAGCCTGGCAATAGCCGGGCACGAAGGCCAGGCCGCGGCTCAGGGCAGGGGCTGCAGCGGCCGCCGCCTTGGAGAGAGCCCCCCTTCCTATGTCACACTTTGCTCCCTTTGCCCCTTGTCCTGTCACTGGCCACCACTGAGGGAGCTTGGCCCCTTCCTCCCTGCATTCCCCCTTCATCAACTTATACATGTTAATCAGATCCCCTCTCAGCCTTCTCTTCTCCAAGCTGAACACGCCCGACTCAGTCTCTCCTCATGCTAGAGATGTTCCAGTCCCTTCATCACCTTGGTTGCTCTCTGCTGGACCCTCTCCAGAAGCTCCATGTCCCTCTTATACTGGGGAGTCCAGATATAAACCCCCCCAAATATAAATAATAAATAATATATAAATACTAAAATAATAAATATAAATATAAATAAGATAAAGATATAAAGATAAAGATAAAGATAAAGATAAAGATAAAGATAAAGATAAAGATAAAGATAAAGATAAAGATAAATAACCCCCCAGGGCAGCACATGGGGCTGCTGGGGACTCACAGTCCTGCTCCCGGCACCGGGCTGGACCGGGAAGGGCAGACTCAGAATTTGGAGCTGTTTTTAACCAACCTTGAGGCAGTAGCTTAGGAAAGCGATGATAAAATCCACTCAAAGATCCTGGATGTGCAAAGGTTGCACGTTCCTTTTGGCTGACGCTCTTCGGCAATAAATGGTCCGAATCTAACCAAATCCATAGCTTGTTTCCAAGGAAAAGTGTATTATCCCCTCCTGGGAATTCCCTCCTCCTCTTGGGAGGAATTCTCAATGGAATTCAGATTTGGCTGCACCTGGGGAGATTGCAAGCACCTCTGCAGGGCTGAGGAGCATTTCCCAGCTTTTCCAGAGCCATAAGCCAAGCTGCCCTTTATGTAAATAAAAATTGTACACAGAACGTGGAAATGATAAATAACCTGTCATTGCTTGCCTGTCTGTCAGAACGAACGCTGCTTCTAATTGCAGCAAAATATTGGTCTTCTTGTATTAAAATTTATTATTGCTGTTGATTTAACATTCATAATCCTGCCTTGCAAATTATGGGGGCCATGGTGAGTGAGCAAATGTTTAACAGTCATCTATTTATGTCCCGGGCCTTTGTTTCCTTGGAAACATTGCAAATGGAATATGAAATGTGATGGTTTGGGCTGATATGGTGATTTTCGAGAATTGCCCCTGAGCTGCTCTCCTTGCCACAGGCTCCATGTATGTGATTGAACGGAAGGAGAAAGCCCGAGGCCGGGACACGGAGGGGCCGGAGCGGCGGGAAGAGCCGGCGGGTGTCCACGAGGGCTGGCTGCTCCGACTACGGAGCAGCCGGAGACGCTCTGGCCAGCCCTGCCGGGACACCCGGGACCCGGCGCCGCCTTCCCGCCCCTCTCCCAAACAGAGGCAAGCCCATAAATTATTCTTAAACCAGGAGCAGCTGCTCCGCATCCCAGTCCTGCTCGTACTTATTTGTCACGCTTCTGGAAACTGTTCCGTGCCACCTTCCTCGTAAACACCAAAGCTCCCCAAATTCACGGCACGAAACCTGCAGGCTTGCCTGCCCTGCCTCGGGGTGCCCCAAATCCCCCCGAATCCAGGAGCTTGCAGGGTGCGCAGCAAAGAGCCCCCATCCAGGCGGGAACGGGCGCTCTTGGAGAGCTGCCAGTTCTGGCGCGTGCTTCCCGGGACAGACGCGGATGCGCGGAGCTGGCCCGTGTCCAGGCGGGAAGCACCGACCTGCTCCGCAGCTCCCCGCGCCCGGCCCGCGAGGTCGGGGCAGCAAAACGGCGTCCTGCGAGCGGTGCCGGGCGCCTTGGAGCCGCTCCCTGCATCTGCTCCGGGATCCAGCCGAAAAAACGCAGGCGAGAAAAGCGGCGCGGCCCTGAAGTTCATTCAGGGAGGAATATTCCCCCCAAGGAGCCCACGGCACAGGCGGCCCTTGGAGTCAGTTCTCAGGGCGCGAAAACAAGGGCCAGGCAAGGAGAGAGACTTTCAAAGGGAACAGTTCATAAGAGAAGGTCACTGAGAAGAGCCAGGGCCACCTGAGCCCACGCTCTAACGAAGCCTTTTTCCAGCGGAACAAATGAAGTCCCTTAATTACCATTTTGTAAATAAAATCTTCTCGGAAAATCAATATTTAGAGCCTGCCTCCTCTGAAGATGTTGGCCTTTGTTCCTTGCTGTTGCGGCAACATAAAACCCACGGTGTGATATACTTCTAGGCTGGAAATTACCCCCTGCCTCTGACTGGGTCAGGGAAGGAAAAGCAATAAACCTTTCGGAGCAGCAATTTGGGTACTATTTTGTGCTTTCCTGCAAATTTTGAATAACCTAAAAAGCCTAATTTCACGCAAGCTCACCACTAACATGGGCAGTCATCAGCCCTTCCCCTGCAGCAATACGGCTGCTTTAGGGCCAGGACGGCGCTTCCAGGGGGGAATTCTGCTGGAAACGCCCCCCGTGTGGCTCAGGCTGGGGGAGACGGGCCAGCCCCGGCTCTGCAGGAGCCGGTGCCACCACCCTGTGACCAAGACGGGCAAAACGGCCCCTCCGACCAAGGGACCCAGCGCTTCCCACCCCGCGACTCCAGCCCCATGACCAGCTCCTTGCGGGATTTTCCCTCGTTTTTAAGGGAAAACGCCCCGATTCCCCGTGCCAGAGACCTCATGCATTTTTCACTACCATTCACCCGCGGTCCCAGGACTGCTTTTGATTTTTGCTACTCATCGATCGGGTATTTTGTTCCCGCACAGCTGGCGTTTGCAAAACATCAGAGCCAGCCCTGGAGAGGGCCCCGCTGAAGGCTGCCCTTTAGTGTTAACATGCCCGGGAGTCGCTGGCGATCACAGGCCACCGTGCAGGGACCTCAAGGGAGGACATATTCCTTGGATGTGGCCTGCAAGGCTTAGTTTAGTGGGCTAAAAGCCTGGAATTTGCTTGGGCACTTGGGGCAGCCCCGCTGGTGCCCGCAGCAGTGATGTCTGCTGTGGGTGCTGAGGCAGGAGCTCACAAAGATCAATTAGTGCACGACATGATTTGGGATCATTTACTCTTTTCTTTTTTTTCCTAAAAAATCCCTTGGGGGGCATTCAGGCCTTCACTGCCGCGCGAAACCAAGTTTTAATCCAAATGAGTTTTCTATGAAACCATGTAATCTAATTCAAAAGCTCGCAGCACACTTTATAGGAGCTCGGCTGCTAGAAGATTCGAGATCCATCTTTATACACAGACAAATACTTCTCCGAGTGCCACAGCCTGATAAACCCCAGGCATAATCACAAACTGATTCTGCCTAGAACTAAGTGGGTTACAGCATTTAGTCATGCCCAAGAGAAGGAAACCAAGGACAACCTGGGAAAGCTCTGGGAGAACCAGTCGCTGTTTTCTCCAGTTCTGGGGTGCCCAAGCCCAAGGACATTTCTCCCACTGAGAGCTCTGGCAATTCCTGGGCACAGCCCTGGAGTGGGATTAGATCTAAATTAGCGAAGAAGAGGCTCAGTCCCTCAAGTACGATGGCCTTTGGGCTCAGATTTACAATACGCGACAGCGTTTAGGCTACAGCCGCGTGCCGGCTGAGCCCCAGTAACCGGCCTCGGCCTGGGACAGATGCAGCGTAATCTGATCGCTCACCTTGCAACGAAAAAGGCTGCAGCTAAATGGCATTAAGCGATTGCCACAGGGAAACGATCACAGCGATGCTCAGCCGGTCGCCGTCGCCGCGCGGGCAGCCCAGCCCCGGGGACAAGGACCTGGCCAGGGGCCCTTCCCGCAGCCTGACACAGGACTGCTGCCTTCCTCAAGCAGGGAAAGGGGAGGATTTTACAGGAAAAGCTTGCAGGAAAGATGTGGAACTCAACGGGAGTGTTGTTGTGGGTTTAAGGACTGCTTGTAAAGTCTTTGCTCGCTTATGGTTCTGCTTCCTGGCCAGTAAGGGGGACAGCATTAACTTCTTCAACACAGGCTCGGTTCACACCATAAGGGCAGAAATGCCTCAGCAAGCCACAAAACGAGCCGTAACCTCCCGAGCCTGGAACAAGCAGCTTGTGCATGTGCAAAGTTCCCTGAAGCGCCCTAAAAACTTCCAGCTGGGAGAAAAATCTCCACCTGTTGCAAAGGTTTTATTGCAACTCACAGACTCCCATTAGATAACACAAAGCTTAAAAAAACCCTAACCACATGAAAAGTCCCATGAAAAGGAAACACTGACAGATAAAAGCACTGCTCTGCAGGATGAACGTGCCACGGCACCTGCCCAGAACCTCCCGAAGGAGCAACCCAAAGGACCAGACCCTACAGCAGGGCAGCTGCTTCCATGAGACGTGTTTGTTAATACGTGTAACAGTTATAGCACACCAGAGAGCACAAACAGCTACTAATAATTTACATGTACAGCATACGTACTATTATGTTTCAGTGCACCATTCCATGCTATTTCCACAGAAGCTATGCTGCCAACTCCCAATTTTCACACTAAGTGCATCCCACCGTATTGTTTCCACAGTGCAAACATCCCCACGCTTCAGCATGAAAACGCAGTTATTCAGTACTCACACAAAACCCTCTTCCCCAGTGAGATGAAAGCCTTAAGTTTAGTCAAAATCAGTCAAAATCTCAAACATTATTAGTGGGGCAAGTGTATTTGCATTTGCACATGGGGACACGTCAAAATACACGGGTTAAAGCGCGGCTCCTTGGCTGCTGGGCGAGCAGGGCACCGCATCCTTCCCTGCTCGCATCAGGACAGTGCTGGGGCCTTACAAAAACACCCAGAAGAGGGTCAGGACAGACCCATTTTTTTTGCTAGACTGCAGCATCATCAGTCAAAGCCTTAATCTAATGTCTGGGTATGATAGAGCACAAAGGCTTAAGCGCAAAGCCCACCAACTGAAGCTGGTGGGACAGAAGAAGATGCCTCTGCATCCAAATAATGTGATTTCTGCCTGCAGGAACAGCCGCTTCCAGAGGCCACCAGGTAGCAGACCCCCAGCCTTGCAGGGCAAGCCCAGATTTAGGCCAAGGTTTAACCCACGTATCCCGACGCGCACGGGGCTTTACCTGTTGTTATTCTTCAGCTTGATGTGGTCGCTCGCCTGGAGGATCTGCCCGTTGCGGAGCCAGGTGATGCGCGGCGGGGGCTCCCCCTGCGCCACGCACGTGAAGATGGCCGTGGTGCCCGCGGGCCGCGAGATGGACTGCGGCGGCTGCACGAACTCCGCCGGCGCTGCGGGGAGGCGGGAGAAGGAGGAGGGAAGTCGTGAGGATCCCGCTTGATCCCGGCAACTGCTGCTCAGAACCAAACTTATAACCTATAGCAATGAGATCTTTGAATAGAAAGTGACTTCGCCCCCTTCAGAACAGATTTAAAGTCATTTCTCACAATAAAAACCACATATTAGGCAACACAGAGGTGCCTGCAAGATGTTGACAGCGAGGTGAGTTTATACGAGCAGCCACGCTTCAAGGGGTGAAGTGCTAAGCACACATTCCCTGTCGCTGAGAGCAACGTGAGGTGGAGGCGCCGGCAGCCACGACGAAGGCAGCGGGGTGAGAGCCACGAAGCCACAAGGAATTTACCAAGCGGCAGCGCGCAGCGGAGGGCGGCCAGTCCCCTTCTCCAACAAAGTGTCATTATCCCGTGCGAGGCCAGCGGGCGTTGGCCAAGTGAGCGGCCGGCGGGCTCTGCCACCGAGAGGGATGCAGGGATGGGAGAAGGGAGCATGGAGCAGGATTGCAGCAGGGAGCGGGAGCAGCTCGCAGGAGCGGAGCTTTGTGGTTCCTGTAAATCACTCAAGGGATCATGTGTGCAAGGTATCATCATCGTCGTCGTCGTCGCTGCAGCGAGACCAAGGAGCAGCGAAAGGTGCTGGTGACGAGGAGCAAAGTCTCACAGGTCGCAGGTCCAGCAAGCAGCGAGGCTCAGAAAGCTGCTGAAGGGCCCATCCTCCTGAAGGGAACTGATTTCTAACAGTCAAGGAGAGTCTCCCGGCAGAGTTTATTGTCAGGCCCCTTTGCTGGCAACCAGGGCTGCTGACAAACCAACCTCGGCAACCCAGTGGACACGTCTCTCCAAAACCTCCCGTGAAACGGGTGCCAATTGATGCACGTTCCCTCCTCTTCCCTCCTACGTTTCTCCTCCTCTAGAGCAAATTAATCCATAAATTAAATCTAGGAGCAATTCAATCAGAGGTGCAAGCATGGCCGTGCACAGAGGGGGAGACGCCTCCCTGGCAGTGAATGGTGCCTTTGTGGTGAGCACAGAGAGCAGAGGGTTTTAGGGAGGCGATTCCCCACTGCCCGTACCTCCCTGCTCCAGCAGAAGTTCAGGTGCGGGAAGAGGGATCCCTCGTGCTCCTTATCCTCCCTCTGAGCCCGTGGCAAGAGGCAGTGATTGGACTGGTGCCGCGGGGGACGTGGCTCCAGCGATGCCCATCAGGGCTGCAGGTCCTTGGCTGCTGCCACGAGGTGCTCGGCCCCGCGCCGGGGTGCCCAGATCCCTACCGGCCACATGAGCACTGAGATGTGTCAGGTCTCGGCCAACACTGGCACTAAGCTGGAGAGGAGGAGCAGAGAGGAGCCAGCCCGGCTCGCGGAGCACCAGGATGCCGCAGGCTTGATTATGCAGGGCTTAATGAGAGGGAGGGGAACGTGTGGGTTTAATGAATATTTAAAGGCATGACACGGGTATCAAAAAGCCATAATGCTCTGAATTGTTAACCGAGGCCTTCAAGAGGTTTCGCTGTGCCTAACATCTTGTGATATTATGAAGATGCTGCAATGGGAGCATCTTGCAACCTGCCCTTGCAGCCAGCACAAAGCAGGCTCTAACTCCCAACAGCCAGAGGAGGAGGAGTCGCCTACAAACAGCAAACCCTCCTCGTTGAGGCTCCCAGAACATTCAGCAAGAGAGTCAAGGAGAAGGCAGCTCTCCGGGGGAGGCAGGCACCGCATTAGATGACAGGAGACCCCAAGACAAAGAACTGCTCCCCGCTTTGTTTCTCTCTCCAGACTACGAAGGACACGTAGATGTTTCACTGGTGGGACTGGTAGGGCCAGATGTGACCATGTTTCCCAGGAACTGAGCAGACACCACTAAGGGGTTTCATGCACATTGTCCATCACCCAACAAGGAGTATCACGACGCGCTTGTCCCATCGAGGTCAAGCCAGAGCTCTTCAGCATGAGATGTTTCCACTCCTTGCATGCTCCTGGGAGGAAGCTTTGGAGCATCCCTGCTTACTCCATCATCCCAATGGATGAGACCAAGTGCCTGCCTGTCTCTCCATGGCCGCTCTTCTCCAGAGGAAACGCGCAGGTAGGCAGGCAGGGCACAGCTCTGTGGGGCACACCAGCCCCACAGCACAGCTCCCAAAGCTGTTTTGGTCTCCTAGATTTAGGCCAGGAAGGCAACAAGTAAACTTGAGGGCAAAGCAAGTCTCATGGAGCAAGCGCGACACATCTGATGCGTGTCCTGGCCGTGCAGCAGCGAGCAAGGGTGGTGGAAATGCCGTTGTGGCTGGATCTGTGGGACCAAGGCAGGCTGGGCCGGTGGGCAGCGGGCACCAGGAACAAGGCTGGCACTGTCAGCAACGCCTGCGGAACCGGCTCCTTGCGGCGGGCGCTCCGCTCCCTTCCGAGACGGGCGCTCATTTTTCTGCAGAGCTTTCAGGAGGAAACGAAGCGTGGAGCGGAGAACACTGGTGACCATCTGGCCATTCACAGCCCATCGGTTTGTTATGACACCGAACACATAATAAAGCACAAAAGATTGCACAGGAGGCGGAGAGCGGGCGCTCGGCCGCTTCCCCCACCTCGGCCGGCGCCGCACGCGCCTGCGCGGCCCCGGTGCAGCCGCGACGCCGGGGTCCCGGCACGGCTCCCGCCGGAGACTCTCCGTGCAGCCCGGCACAAAGCAGGGCCGCACTGGGATCGGGGGCGAAAAGGGAAACTCGCCTGCGTGAGAAGCTCACAAACGAGATCAAAGGCGCCGGAGCGGCCAGGGGAGGGCTGGGAAGGCCCTGGCCCTGGCCTCCCTCGGGAGGAGGAATTCCCAGGGGGATAATGAGGAGGTGTTGGATGAGCTGCAGGAGAGGACAAGTGGCTTCAGTGCCAGCCTTGCAAAGGGAGATGCCGCCCTTGCCATCCCTGCAACCGTGCCCCTTCCGAAGGCGCAGGGCGCGTTCCCGGGGGCAGCGGCGCCTGCTCCGAGGGCCCTGCGCCGCCGCTGGCTCCAGCCAGGCTTTTGATCGCTCCCTCTTTGCTTTTCTTCCCTGTGCGGATGTAATTTGCATCACTGACATCTTGACAAAGATAAACCCGGCAGCCCTCTGCATCAGTCATTGTGGAGGCTTTCTTTGCACACAAACCTCCGCAGCGATCCCTTGTGCCTCTCCACTGGGAAATCCAGGGAAAAAGGGATTCAGATGAAGGGGAAGCTGCTGCCAAAGGGAGGCCAAGCAAACATGGGCCGGCTCCAACGGCCGGGCCGGGTCTGCCATGAGCTTCCTGAGGGAATGTCACTCCTCAGCAGCGTCACCCTGCATGGAGGAGGCTCCAGCCACACTTCCCTACTCCATGTCCACATTTCCTATCTTGGGGACTCAGGTGTGACTGCCCCTGGTCAGCAGGGAGGCTCCTGGTGACATTGCTCACCTCGAAATGCAGCAGCAAATGCTCTTCGCGCCTTGATCAGCTCCTGGGACTGGGAGACGCGAGCGGCCTCGCACAGACACCCCTTCTGCATCGCTCCCCAGCCACTCGCCAGGCAGAGCGGAGCAGGGGACGCCAGCGCCGGGGACCGTCACCACCGCAGAGGTGACACGGCGCTGAGCTGCCACCAGCGACCCCCGGAACCCGCCGGGCCGAGGAGGGCACTTCCCCATCACCAGCACGATGGGTTCAATTAGCTCGCTCCGGCAGGAGGGGTATAATTTCAGATGCAGGATATCATCAGTCAATAGCTAATGAGTGAGCTGATGAGGGCGCGAGAGGCTTTGAGTGCGCTGGCTTGAGAGGAGGTGAGTGCTGCAATCAGGGCTGGATTGCTGCCATTCAGGGCGCTGGCAGCTGCCTCTGCCTGCTCCAGTGCTTGCCGGGCTCCCCTCACCGTGGGGACTGGTCCTTCGGGGCACGCAGACGGGATTTATTTGGTTTTTCGAGGGCTGATCTCTGCCATGGATGGAATCGCCCTCTAGGAGTGGTATTTCAGGAGAGTTGCTATGGGGAAGGGGAGCAGGCTGCTTTCCCCAGGCACAGGATATGTCCGGGATAACTCCCAAAGAGGGTGACTTAGTGAGGGTCCTTGAACATCTCCTGAGACATACAGGGACGAATTCCTGCAACAACTGGGCTGCATTACCCCAAAAGCCCATGATGGCGTAGGAGGCCATTCCAACCCATGACCCAAAGGCCTCAGCTTGATGATACTGAGGCTGCTACCCACCTTCAGGGAATACACGGACCCACCTGGGCACGGCAAACATGGGAAAAGGCACGAAACGCTCTGTCTGATACTATCAGAGAAGCACAGTCAGCATTTGTGAGGTGGCCAGCCCGTTCTGCAAGCCCACACTGCGCTCACCTTGCACCACGAGCCTGCCCTGGGCCGTCCTGCGCACGCGGGTGCCGGGCTTGTTGGCAGCGCACACGTAGATGCCGGAGTGCTGCACGGTGACATCCGAGATCATGAGATTCCCCGTCCCCAGCACCTGGATGCCCTCCACGCCAATGGGGCGGCCGTCTGGAAGAAAAGGTTGAGAGTCACACGCTGCATCTTTGGGAGAGGTTCTCCAGAGCGTTGCCCTTGGTGAGGACAGAGCTAAGCACCTACAGACCATGCTCTTCACTATGATTTGCTGAGTAAAGTCAAGGGGTTTTAGCTCATGCTCTTGTCCTCTAGAGAAAACCAGGGTCATCAGTTAAGTGTTGGCCCCCAGTCACACTCTGTGCTGCTTGGAAAACCAAGCTACCATCACACAGGAGATCTGAGGGATTTCAGCAAAATGTTCGGAGTAAAATGAAGCACCCAGAATGCTCTTCAAGAGAGCAATAAAACCAAGTGAAATCGTGTCAGCTTCTGAGAGAGATTATCTGTGCCCTACAGGGACATTCGACTGGCCAAAGACCCGGGATCCAGTCAGCTCTAGATCTCTTTTCCAAAAGACAGTTTGGGAAGGAGGAGCAGCAGCCTCCTTGCTCAGCCACCAGCAGTGAGGGACTCAAGAGTTTCTTAAGCCAGAAGAGACCCATTTCTTTTCTGCTAACCTTTGATATATTTTCACGCCCTCGACCTGTCCCGTTGCTTCCTGAAACCACAATAATCCTGGATTTTTGATTCCTCAGCCCCTGACTTCACAGCAGCCTGGCAGCGGAGCAGCGACGCTTCCAGCAGACCCCTGGGCTTCAGCAGAAGGTCTCCAAAATCAAAGGACTTGCACAAAACAATTTGGTATCGGGGAATTTGCCCTTTTCCAACAAAGCCCGTTTTGCTGGAAAATTCCCAGCCAGCTCTAATTACAGCGTGTTTCATTAGTATCAGGCTATTGCTTTTTATTGTTTCACTGGCTTGTGTTTTAAGGCGCTGTCTGACAAACGCAGCTCTAAATCAGCCCTAGGACGTGTCAGTGTCTGAGCAGAGGGGCAAGGCAGAAGGGATATTTTTATGGGAGGAGCAGTTAGGAGGAAGGATGGCAGCATCTCACTGGAAAACATTGGCAAAGGGTGGACTAGAAGGTATGGGGACATTTACAAATACATCTCCTTTGATGCCCTTTGTGATGTTTTACAAGAATATTTAAACTTAAAGGTTTCCTGGCTTCACCGGGTGGGCAGAGCCAGGGCCCTTCGTTATTCACACTGAAAAGAAAAATTCTCAGGTCTTTTAGACAGAGAAAAACAATGCCATTAAATGCTCACATCGCTGGCCAAGCCACTGCAGCAGTAAATGGCTCAGTCATAAAAAGGACAGTAAAACATGACCTGTCCCACGTTTAATGAGCAATAAGAAGGAACCATTCCCTTCAAACATCATTTCAGCTCAAGTGTAAAGAAGGTCTGAATCAAATTCAAATTGAACCTGATTTCATCTTTTAAATTAGACCTTTTGCAAGCTCCTATTTATAGTAGGTGCAAAAATCAAAGCTCCCTCTCGAGGGAGGGACAGGCCCAGCAAAAGACATTGAGCGGCCATACCTGGACGCTTCATCACATCATTGCCTTGAGAAATATCACAGAAATGTGGCTTGAATGTCAGCAGGCTTACTGTATTATTTATGACGTGCTACATAATTTAAGCATGAAGGACCCAGCCTGCAGCAGGTTCTCCCCACAGTCCAGATATCAGCCTCTCAATTGTCTCTGCAGCTCCAGCTATTAATTAGGGGTGGGAGGGTTTGAAGTAACGTTGCCTGTCAACCGAGCAGCTCTCATTTCCTTCAAGAAGAAAGTTCTCCGAGCTCAGAAACCTCGGAGGAAACTGCTATTTGATTCAGGGAGTTTGGCCCTCTCTAACAGCCAGGAAGATTACCGCGCCACATCAATCCACACATATTCCCCCTTCCCAAAAAAACGCTGGGAACACCTTCTGGTGAACGGCCTTCGCTTTCGCAGCTGGTTCCATCCTCCTCCTCGCCCTGCTGTGCACAGAGGGTACAGAGCCAGGTCCTGCAGCCGTGTTCTCAGCTGCTATCAGGCCCACGTGAGTGACGCATGGAGCAGGTATAGGTGGTCCTTAGGCACTTGCAGCCAACAGGTGAGCGCTGTGCAGAAGTGCTGTGCAGAGGGACTGATGTCTCACACCTGCCTTGCAAAGCCTGACATCTATTTTAACCCTGTTTCGCTTACAAGCAGACCCGGACGGTGCCTTGCATCAGGGATTTCAAACCCAGAAAAAACACCTTCCTGGCAGTGCTCTCTGTCACCGAGCCAGCTCTCCACGAAGGACTGCAAGAGCTAACACTGTTACTTGCTTCCCAAAGCACCAGGGACCCGCGTGGATTTGAAACTGTTGCTTACTTAACATGACCTTCCACTGCTTTTTATGAGGCCAAACGTGGCGATTTTAAGGGTTGGAAACAAGCCATCTGGGTGGAGATGCAGCTCCTCTCTGTCGGCCCCTGACAGAGCATTTCAGAAGGAGCAAGAGCAACTTCAAACACGGTCCCTGCTCTGACGGTGGTCAGCCTGCAAGCAAAGCCGACCCGAGAAGGGATGCAAGCCTTTCTACTTGCCCTAAGGCATTGAGCTGGACAAACTCCCTGTCCTGATGGGGACAGGAGAAAATACGATACGGAAAATCTGCAACACCAGAGAGCAACATTTGTGCTGGGCTCCATGTTCAGTCCAAATGGACAAGAACTCGCCTTCCTGAGGGTCCACTTCCCTATGGAGGACAAAGGATGCTCCTGCTGCAGCCAGCCTCTCCCTGTGATCCGGCCAAGGGGCTTCGTGCAGTGGGAACACCCCGGACAACAGCAAGAGCCCTTCGCCAAACTCCAAAGAAAGGTTCAGAGCTCACATTTGACCTCGAGACTGTCCATCCTGGTCGGGGCCTGGCCCTGCAGCGTGCTCAGGGACCTCAGGAAGGTCCGACACACTCTCTGCTCTCCCATATGAATTCAGCAATGCTTCAGGGTTTGCTGTGGTGCTGGTTTGGCATGAAGTGGTCACCTGTTGGTGCAAACAGTCTTCACACTGCTCAGTGGAAGAGCTTTGAGGTGACTGAGCCCCAAGGGCAGGAGCCTCCTCCGGGGCTGCAGGTCTGGTCACTCCATCGTGCTGATTTGGACCGGCTTGTGGCAAAACGCCACCGAGAACAGCAAGGAACCGGCAGGATGGATTCCGATGGGTGCCTCAAACACAGGCTGTCCCAAAGCCGGGCTTCATGTGGGCGTGAAGAGCAGCCACACAGCGCATGAACAAAGCAGGCCACGCTCTGCATGCCTGGTTAAGAAGCCTGGGGTCCAAGAGCCACCTCCTTTCCTTTACCAAGGTGTGTGCAATGCTCTCCTGAGCCCGCTCTCCTCCTGCCAACCAAGTGACTGGCACACCAGCCCCAATTACAGCACTGCGTTACAACGTGCCCGGCGATATGAATATGCAGCAACACGAACGCCTTGCTTTTGTGAGCAACGCGTAGAAAGAAAGTAACAACTTACTAATGTTGATCGTTTAGGTCTTTTGTGCCTCCTTTGTGCTGCGGCACAGTAGCCTTCCACTTTTTAGACACACGGGTCTCCTGCTCTGTCGGACACTGGGCACCGTGGATTAGCATATTTAGAGTACATTGCAACAGTTGACTATTCAGTCTGTGAAGTGGTGAAATTTACTCTATTATTTCTAAACACTTACAAGAACGGTGCTCCTGTCAACCAGTCAACCATCTATTGCAAGCTTCTGTGTCCAATAAGTTACCAATTAATTGGCTCCAACAATTGTTGTATAGTTTACTTCTTGAAAGGCTCCCTCTTTAGTAATTTCCTTCCCATTGTGAGGCCCTTTCTGACAACTTCTGTATAACGCTATCAGATAATCACTGTCTTTTCTTTTTCGCCTCACTCTTCTATATCTCTCTAAATAGTGCATTATTCTGCCTTGGTACCTTTTATGGAGGCCAGCTCAGCAGCCTGTCACTTAAAGGCTAAGGATACATTAAAATCGCCGCTCATTCAAAAGGCTTTGCAATAAGTGCCCGGGATATTCATTTGTGCACACATACAGGTCCGAGGCTGCAGCATGCAGTGCTGAAAGGAAAAGCCCCTACCTTGGCTGATCAAGCCCCTAATGATTTTACATCTCTCCCAGAGCCGCCTCTCTAATGAATGTTGACGTTTGAGGCGCTGCAAGGCACGGGAATTCTGCTCGTGGTCAGGGGCTGCAAGGTATTCCCAAGGAAATTAAATTCAAAATTGATTGCGTAACACTCAGGAACTGGCCCAGAATTTGAATGGTTTTCCTGCAAGCGAGGAAGAGCTGCGTTTCCCACTGACAAGAGGAAAACAGGCAGGTTTTAGCCAAAGTGCAAAACCCAGAAATGGTTCCATGGCTCCCTCTCCCATGCTCCACAGAAAGCTGTAAAAGCCAAATTGTTGTTTTGCTCATTTCCAAGAAAAACACCCCAATATCAGAAGTGCAAGTGGGGGGGTCAGGCAGATACGTGCAGATGATGGATGCAAGGTGGACCTGCCCATCCAGCAACACCTCCTCTCCCTCATCCTGATGGCAGAAGCTTCAGGACAGGAAAATGCTCCAGAAATCACTACAAAAAGGGACGACAACTCCACAAACTCAGCCGGGAGCCTGTCAGCCATGGGGCTGCAGAGACCCAGGTACAACAAACAAGACCTCGGGATTCTCTGGACAGAAAATGGTCACAGAGAAGGAGAGATAAAACAATAGGGCCTCTTTCCCATCTCTACCTCTATCTCTGCCCCTGTGCCACAAAGCGACCTGCAAAAGGTATTTGTTTTGAGCGTGAGCTTACCCGTCCAGAAGAACATAGTATGAAGCCATTACATCCTCATTATTACCATGCTCTACAGAGACAAGTGTTTTGAAGAAGGTAATAAGCTGTTATAATTAAGGCAATTATAAAGTAGTTTATTACAGTGGAGCACTAATATAGAGCCGCCTTGTGTCCAAGAGAACTGAAACGATAGAGCATATCTGGGGAGATTTTTAAAACAGCATCAGTCTGATGGTTATGGCTCTGGGGGAAAAATCAGTTAGTGGCAGACAGGGTTTGAGGGCAGGAGCCACCAGGTGCATGTCCTTGTCACCTGGAGCGGGATGTCACCCTTTCCAGGAGCCCACTATGCCCCTTGGGGAGCCCTGGGGAAGAGGTTTTGTGCCAGAAGAGCAATACCAGGTAGAATTATCTCTGTTTGTGCTTCCCAGCTACCTTGTGTGGTTCTGGGAGACGAGCTTGTAAAAATTACGTGACCTTGCAGAACAAAAGTGCTTGGGAAATATTAACTGGGCTCAGTAAACACAAAATGCGCACGCACACAGGAAGCTGCAAGCTCCAGAAGATGAAACAAGAGGCACCAATGCTTTGCTTAGCACAGATCTCTGCCTAGCAGTCAAAAGAAAGTGTCATTCTGCACAAATCAGCTCCTTTCCTGAGCTGATATCACTAATAGCTGAGCTGAGAGATAGGCTCTCCCAAGTCTCTTCTAAGTGGAAGTGTTTGCATGTGTTTCTGCTTCTCTGGGCCAACAGTGGCAGTGTTTGCAATGCAGCTAAGAAAATGCTGCTGCTTGGGGAAAGATAAAATTATCACTTTTCAAGAAATGTCTACATATTTAACCAACCCACTTCTCTAATATGTAAAAACAGGATTTTGGCAGAGAGGAAAAAAAAGGAGTGTAGACAGGAAGACACAAAGCACGAGCCTGCAATTATCCTGTGGAGGAACATGAGGGCTGAACCACTCGCTGCATGGAAGAGTTGGCAGCATGGACCTGTCTCCCCGGCAAGGGCCCTGGGGAAGGGGAGGGAATCCCATCCCAAGGGACTTACCGAGGCGGCTCCAGGAGACGATGGGCCGGGGGTTGCCGGTCGCGATGCACTCCAGCACTGCCGTCTGGTGCACCGTCAGCGTCAGGTTCTCCGGACCCACGAGAATCATGGGGTCCTTGTAAGCGGTGGAGTGGGAACCTGCAAGGACAATGTCACCGTTAACAGGTCCCCGTGCGGCCTCTCAGCATCTAATTCTCTCTTGTGGAACGGAAAAAAAGAAGCTTCTATATTCTGAAATATTCTGAAATATTCTGAAAAGCTTCACAGGCTGCAGCCCCTGGCGAGGGTCTCTCTGAGAGCTGCTCTCATCTCTGAGGCCCACAGGGTGCTCATGCCCATTGCTTCAAGAGAGCAATCCAGGAGGAAACTCCACCAAAGAAGGCAGGGAGCAGATCATAGAGTGACAGAACCACAGAAGCCTTGAGGTTGGAAGGGACCCCTGGAGATCACCTAGTCAAACGGCCTGCTCGAGCTGGCCACCGACAACACGTGGCCCAGGTCATGCTCTAGGTGACCAGGCAGCTTTGGAACATCTCCAAGGACATTCCCAACCTCTCTGGGCAACCCGTTCCATCTGGCACCATCAATGTAAAAAGGTTTTTCCTCATGTTCAGACAGAACTTGTTGTATCTCAGCTTGTGCCCGTTGCCTCTCGTCCCACCACTGCAGGGTCTGGCCCCATCTCCTTTACACCCTCTCTTCACATGCCCGTACCCCGTCCTCGTGCCGAAGCCGTGCCACGCTCAGCAGCAGCCCCTGCTCTCCCTACTGCAAATAAGTCCTGCAGGCGCCTGTGAAACCTCCCAAACACACACAGCTTTGAATGAATCAGGAATCTGATTTACCCATCCTTTACTTACGTACAACAAATGTCTGTGATTGCTAAAGACTCTTACAGGGGCGCAGTCACGGAGGGCAGCACATTGCAAATCAAGAGCAATGTGGGGCTTTCAACGAGCACAAATCTCACGGGGGAGACACGATGCACCAAAAAACCCTGCAAGAGCTTTTCACCAGCATTTCCTTTCCTTTCTTCCTGCACTTTCCAGCTTCGCCCTGCCACGGGGCTGAAATGGGGGAGGCAGTGGGGGGGATGCAGGGCTCCCAAGGCAGGGCCGCATCGGGCAGCCCCTCTGTTAATCATTTCTGCAGGAGCGGAGCGGGCAGTGATAAAGCGGCGCGGAGATTGCCTCTAAACGGGCGAAATCCAAGGAAAAGCCACCGTGTCAGAGTGACTTCTGAGCCGCCTTTCTCGCTAAACGCATTTCACTGCGAGCCATAAAATGCAGATTTTCTGATGAGAACCAGAATGCGCAATAAATTCCTGCGAGCAGCTGGTTAACCTCGAGAGATCTGAGAAACAACACCTTCCGCTCAGCAGCTCCGAGGGCCTTTAAAACCCATGTAAATTTATTGTCCTAAATCACAATACTAAACGTTCCTGTTTAGAATAATGCGATCGAATCATCATATCACATAATGATTTCCATATTTCAAGGCGCAGAGGAATGAAATGGATGGTTCAAGGTTAGCCAGGAAGGTCGATAAACAGGAGCTGAGCCCGAAGCAGGATTTACAAAGCCCGCTGTTTTGGCAAAAAGAAATAACTGCACTCTTTGGTTTGTATTTAAAGTGCTAGAAAGGCATCCTGATTTTCACCAGGGATGGACACGCGCTGCCTCTCTGGGACATGGTCCCGGCAGGCACCTTCCTCCTCCTCAGCAGCCTGGCTGCAGTAGGATGCTCCAAGGCAGGGATGGGGCAGAGGCCGCCAGGACTTATTCCCAGCCTCTGTCTCCTACCGAGGGCTCTCTGGGAAAGCCAGAGCCGGGGCAATTCCCTGGAAAAAGGTTTTTAGTGGGCTGCGAGCTTGCAAGTGTGCAGGCCCCGCAGAGCCCAACGGCAGCACCAGCCCTTCAGCAGACACTTCCACGCTGCGCCCGCATCCATCATCCGGCGGCTCGCTTTAAGGAAGAGAAAACCCACAAACATTTCACAGACAGGAAACCTGGAAAATATCCGTTTGAAAGGAGGGATGGTCAATGAGAACAGCTAGTGCTTTCTGCTCCAAGGGAAACAATATCCCTGAGCGGTAAATTGCTGCAAAGAACTTTACCACGTTGAAAATTTACTGTTCTTTTCCCCCTTGGTGCAGCTACTGTTCACATAGATCAGGAAAAGCAAGGAGACCACCAGGGATCAGCCTGCCTGGGCAGCAAGAGGGTCAGAGCTCACTGGTCTGCCCTAGGACATCGCTGCACCCCGTGTGCTCTACAGACCCCTAGAGAAGTGACAGCAAAGGGCCCTTGGGGTCTGCCATGCCCAGGTGGGCAGCCCTGGCACCGTGGGCAGTTTTCCCCTGATTTAGGGGAAAAGGACAGCATGGTTCCTGCCCTGCACCACATCCTGCATCTCCAAGGGTCTCGTCTTCCTGCAGTTTGTGGGAGATCATCTCTCCGTCCCGATGCAATGCTAATAACCCACAGAACTAAATTCTCCTATTAGATAAATAACTGATCACCCTGTGTGCTGCAATTAATTCCAGAGCAGGCAGGTTTCATAAGGATATGATGAATCTTCCACATTTCCAGAAGGATTTATTTAGTGTAAAGCTGCTGTAACTCCTGTTCTCACCATCCTTCCCTTCCCCAGAAAAGGACACTAATTTAAAGGCAAAGGGACAGATTAATCTGCTGTTAAACAGACTCACCTGCAGAACTCCTAACAATCAGAACAGGGAACAGACTATTGCAGGACAGAGCAAGGCTTTGCAGTGCTGTTATCCCAACAGTCTGCTGCTGTTATTCTTATAGTTTGCTAAACCACCTTAGCCCGGGAGGAGAAGACAAGAAGGTTGTTAGGACACAGTTTAGTGGTACTAACCTGACACGGTGAGCCTGGCCTCCCGGCTGAATTTCACATTCGCAATATTGGTAGCGACGCAGTGAAAAATCCCACTGTCTTCTGCCCTCAGGCCGGTGATCTGGAGGACTCCCTTCGGAAGCAGCGTGTACCTGTGGGATGCACAGAGCAGAAGCAGGAGCTCGCAAGGCAGGAGGTGCCCGGGCCTGCCTGCCGTGCCCAGAACTCTCCCCCTCCACAGACTGCAGTGGTTACTGCATTGCTGCACATTTCAGCCTCTGCTCTTCTCTTATAGAGGGTAGGTTCCTTCTTCCAACCTTCTGCTATGTCCTTACAGAAGGATGGCTTTCTCTGGAAGGCTAAAACGAAAACGCTCTGGATTTAACCCACAGAAGAACTTCCTAAGTGCAATCTCATGGGAACACAGCTGGCCACGATGCAGTGAGTGACCACTCATCAACTGTGCACAGTGACCATGGATGGTCATCCATGGTCACATCCCAAGCCAGGGCCCATACATGGTCCTGGATTTAGGATACAGAGTCCCAGAGACAGGGCTCAAACTCACATAATCTTAAAATGTGTGGGAGGACATGTGAAAAATAAATACTGTGTGTTCATACAAGTCTAAATACATACTTCGTATATTAAAACATTTAAAACATACACCTGTGCGCACACACACATATATACATTAAATATTTAAGCATATACATACACTACAGGTTGCTTGGCAACTGTGTGTTTAAATTGGTTGGTAGTAAGTCGTTACACCATGATGAGTTAATAATCCATTTCCGTCTGGAAGATGAAGAATATCTTTTTCCACATCAGCATCTGGTTAAGTGTCTATAACCTGCTCTGTGCGCGGGGATCCAAAAGCGCGGCTCGGTGTCGGCAGCAGCGTGGCAGCAATCACTTTTATACATCCTGAAGTTGATTGCAATCGCTCTGGGACTTTAAAATGCCCATTGTTTTCAATGAATTATACCACAAGAAGCCTTCATTTTTGTTAACAATCTGCCCACAGCATTAGAAGATTCAATTCCGAAGCTATTATTCTGCCTTCAAAGCCTCCAAGTGGAAGACTCAGCATACAAATTTATATACACTTTATAGGCAGAGATGCACCAAGCACGATTAATGCAGAAATCCAATTCCGTTTGAGAAGCAACCCTCATCACCCAGGCCCATTGGTGTCAGGGATTAATCTATTGAGGTAACAATAAAAACCTTCCACAGGAACTTTATGCCCACGAGAAGGCAAATCTGCTCAAAATTAGAACACCGAACATTGGAAAAATGCTCCTAGGTGGTGAGGATGAGAATGGTATGGAACTTTCCAGCTCTTCCTCCTTAGTCTGGGAGACAAGGAATAGTTGTGGTTGTGCCCAAATCCTTCCCCATCCCTGCACTAGTGGCCTTAGGCTTGAGAGAAAACTGGGAATAATGCAGAGGGATTTCAAGGGAACTTCACACATCCTGCAGCATCTCAGCTGGATGCACACCAGGTGTCAAGCCCAAATCGGCACTTTGGGTCCCCACAGATGATGCCTCAGACGAGCTGCCTTGCTGTGCCATGCCACCAGTTTAGGACTCGTGTGAGCAAGGAGCCTGCAGAGATCAAGTTTAATAAATCAACCCTTCGCTGGACTATAAAAAGCCCAGCTGAAAAACACGAGGGAAAACAAAACGTGACAGTTGCCATTTCCAACCGCAGGGCAGGGCCTCTTGGGTCCTTCTACTGCAAGTTCACCACAACACTGAAAAGGTCAGGCCTTGTTTTCTCCAGCCCCCAAAGAACCCAACCAATTCTGGTGCTCAACTGACATTTTAAGGATCGGGGCTTTCAGGGGAATATTTACAGTGTCCTGGTTTCATCTATTCCCGACGCGGGATCAAGGTGCGCTGCGAGCGGCTGCTGTTGGAGCCGGTGCCTTCCTGCCACCTGTCCTGCTGTCCCATGTGGGATCCAGCCATGATTAGGGACATTTCCTACGTGACGGGAGCTCTGTCAAGCAGAGGCAGCAAGGACATGCGGCTGCAGGAGCAGGAGGATGGCATGGGAAGCCCTGAGAACCCACAATATCACCGAAAAGAGCCTTCTATGGCAGAAAAGCTGAGGAGGAGCCTCAGTGCCGTCCTGGGATAGGTGTGGGGACAAGAGCAAACCTGCTTCCACCTGGCAGGAGGACAGCACTCTGTGGTTTGGGTGTCTCTTACCTTTCGTTGTCTGTGTTGACCGGCATGCGATTTTTTTGCCACAGGATGACGGGCTCGGGCAAGCCGTGGATCTGGCACTGGAACCTCGCGACTCCTCCTTCCTCCACGACTGCATTTTGAGGGTGGATGTGGAAGTCGGACATTGCTGGAAGACACAGATAAGAGCCAAAATATTAGTCCATGAAATGAGATCCACCGCTAAGAGCATCCTATGACCGGAGCACCCCAGAGCTGGCAAATGAGACTGCAGGAAACCCACCCTGGCAGAAGAGAAGCCAGATTTGCCACCTAACCTGCATGGAGGAACACGGGCCCTGGCAAGACCTCGCTCTTGCTGTCTGTGTGCCCGTGCACAACGCGCTGGGGCAGGAGGCAGCTCCCACAAGCCCTGTGTCCACAGCAGGGTCTATGGGGCAGCAGGATGCCCGGGCTGTCCCTTCTTGGAGGACCAGCACAACCCGGCCCGTTGCCACAGCCACGGCTGCAACACTGTGTGGGTAAACTCGGGCACACCGTCAGAGCTACATAAATAACACAGCAATTATTACTATTAATTAATTGGAAGGTGCTGCCTGTTGACTCCGCAATAAACATATTCATGGCTAATAAACATCGCAGTGGTTATTTAGCTTGTGATTCATTTGCAGTGCCGCACGCGCGGGCAGAGCTCTCCCATTACCATATAAAACAAACCCCGAGGGAGCCCTGCCACCCCAGCCCAACACTGCCCCTTCCCAGCGGGAAAACCTCGTCCCCTCTTCCGTGCCCGAGCGGAATGAATGAACAGGGGCGGCGGAACAAGCCGCGTCCGTGTCAGCTGAATCATCCATCTGCAAACTGCAGTGGGGCTCGGGCAGATGGGCGATGGCCATTAGTGATCATACATTAAATATGGGCTGCATTAACCCGCGCCGGCCCGCGCTCCGGGGTGGTTAAGGCCATCGGGCAACGCAGGGGCAGCTCCAGACCCCGGCGCTGGGAGCCGGGATGGGCTCCCGCAGAGCCGGATGCGGAGCACAGCAGCGCACGTGGATGCCAACACCTATTTCCAGGAGGAAAGACAACGCCGGTGTCCTCTCCAGGCATGGGGCAGAGCCCCACGGTGGAGCAGCTATTCGCCCAATTCCTAAGGATGAAACAAAGCCCGTTAGTAAAGCAAAAAAAAAATTTTCTGCAGATTCAGATGCCTGCAGGGAAATTCCTTTGGGATGCACTGATCTGGCGTGGAGGTTTCTGGCTGATGAGCAGGGGAAGGTGTGAATGAGATGGCCCTGGTGCCGGGGCCTTCTGCCGAATTCACGGCCATTCCTTTCTTTCAATAATATCATCTCTTAGAGGTAAAACTGCAGCAATAACCTCCACTCTTAAAGACTCTAGTATTAATATTTATCATGAATAAAACATGGGGAGTTATAAATAATTCAGTTATGAGGATGTTAAGTAAAATATTACTCTTCAATGACCCTATAATGTGGCTCTGAAGCACAGTTTTATGTTAAACGCCTAGGAAGCACCGTGACCCTTGCCAAGACCAGCTGCTTTGCAGAAGAGGCATTAAAAATTCATGCACCGAGCTACAAAACACTATTTTTACCCCAGGTTTACGAGTTTATTTACATTTGCAGACACAAAGGCTTTTGTGGCCCCTCCTGTAAAACAGCCACCAAGTTGAAAGCAAGCGATTACCTGCATGCTGTTTCCAGCCGAGAAATAAATTCCCAGGGGAGCAGAGGGGAGAGCAATGGGAAGCGACTGCTCGGAGGGGATATATCTCCCCCGGCCCACGTATGATTTTTGCATCATTTTGGGATTTTGGCAGGGTAGCAAGCTCCTTTAGCAGAGTAGCGGCTCCTGTTCTTAGCGGAAAACACCCGGGTAGCTATTCTCCAGCGGGCTCTATTGTTTCAGCACCACCAAGAGCTGCGCAACAGCCAGGGTGGAGCTGGCCGGCAGCCAGGGAGCCGCATCTAATTTCTATGCTAATGGATATCATCATTTTTAAAATAAATACAGGCAATCACAGCATTCGCCGGCGTTCCTGGAGCTCTCCGAGGCATCCGCCCGCAGCATCAGTTACCCTGCTGCCGTCGCCCCCATCCAGTCATGGATGCGGAGGAGCCAGATCCCGCCTGGGACCTGTTGTCAGGCAGGGCTTGCGCCCTCTCCTTCCCGTTCAACTTCCCTTTTCCATGTGGAGAGGAACTGTCCGTGCACAGGGTGAGTGTAGATAGCTGTAAAATCACCCCAGAGCTCCTGGGATGTCAGGTCCACCCAAATCGTGTTCACACTGCGGCTCCAAATGATTTTGCCCTAGAGCAGAGCAGGGAATAGCCGAGATGGCTCCAAGGCATCTCGGTGCCACTGTCTTCCTCCCTGCATTTTTGCTCCCCTCTTATAGGGCCTGGCACAGACCATGCTCTTCCTCCCTTCCTCCTACACAGAGTATCATGGATGATGTCCATTGGGAAAAGGTTGGAGCACAGGCGGGATCACTCTTCCCTACAGAGCATCACAGGTGCAGGGTCTTCCACGGTCTCACCATCCTCATCCTGGGCACCATGCAGGTGAGCCGCTGCTCTCAGCCTCATCCATATTCCCAGAGGATTTCTCCTGGCAAACACGTTGGCTGGGACTCCTCTAATCAAAGAGCAAACACATTTCCCAGCCTCACGCGCTCCGCGGAAAGGCCAACGGAATAAAAATGATAATAGCTATTGAAGGAAATTTCCTTTACTCCACGAAAAACTAAATTGAAACCATTAGCGGCCAATCCTTTTTTGCCTCAGTTCGGCATTAATGCTAAGCCAGAGATTGACCTAAATTTGATATAGAAAAAGAAAACATTAACTCGGTATGTCAAAGCAAATCCCAGGCCTGGTAGAATCATTAAAACGCAAACATTATTATCAACTGCAGGCGCAACGGGACGAAGACGACTGGAAAGGCTGAGTGCTGAGCACGGTGCTAGCGGAGCATCGGGAGCCCGGCCGCTCTTACAGCCACACGGCACTTAAATTTAAACTTAAACTAGCCTGGTTTTGGGGGGCACAGCACCCCCGAGCTGCCTTCTGCACCCCGAACGGTCCCTTCATTCGCTGCCCTCCGCACTCCGCGCAGGGAGGATTTGCCTGCAAGGAAGCAGCCTGGCACACGAGGTTGGGGGGGCATACGGACACCACAAATGCCCACTTTCCCATTTTCCAGCAGGAACACAGTTTTCCCAGGGGTTTAAGACACTATATCTTTTTCTTTGAGTTAGAAAACAAAAAAAAAGATGCCTTTTACAAAGGCAGGGCCGCGTGCAGCAGCTGCGGGCAGCCCGTGCCTAATGCCGCTATTGTGCCGGGCTGCAGCTCGACCGCGATTCCATGTGCCAGAGAGTCGGCATTCCCGGAGAAAGGCAAGCAAAACCACCTGGGCAAGGAAGGGGGATATTTAGGAGTGGCAGCGCTGAGGGAAAAGCCCCTGGGTTGCAGGTCCAGGAAGAAAACGGGCTGCAAGAGTGGGAGTGCAGGAAGGCATCGGGAGCAAGGCGGCTCGTCGGGAAGGGGCGGAAAGGAAGAAGAGGGAAGCGCCGGCTCTGGAGAGCTGCCGGTGACGAGGGATCTGCCCTGATCTACGGGCTAATGACTTTTAAATGAAATGCAATTTTTAAATGTTATTGTTGTCAGTCCCGTTTTCTCTGCTAGCGATCGTTTCTATAATAGCTTGAGATTCCCAGCATCTGCTTTTACCAGCTCTGGTGAAATTCGTTTCCTAATGTATTTCTCGGCGCCTTTGTTATTCCCGGTGAGTTCCTTGTTCCAGCTCCCGGAGACGGTGCCCGATGCTCCATAAGGAGTTTGCCCTTTGCTCCCTCGCGCCTGTTCGTGCCGGGGAAGATGGCCTGGGGACAGACAAGCCCTCCTCTCTGTGCACATTCCCAATCCAATGTCTTTATACTGCCTCATTAATTACCTTGGAAAGCTCCTTTTCCGCATGGGAAGCGGTGATTTATAGCAGACTCGGGCAAGGTGCCATTTGTAGCAGGGAGCAGTGCCCATTGCAGGAAATCCCTGTCTGCTCCTCAGCGGCGGCAACAGCTTCCCACTTCCCTGGAGGCGTTCCAGGGAAACCCAAGCTGGATTACCGCCGAATGGGCCAAATCCTCGCAAGCGGGACGCAGGACACTCGATACGCAGCCCTCGTCGTCATTTTTTTTTCCTTTTTTTATTATTTCTTTGCAGCGAGAAGCCCCCTTGGCTGAAAATAGCTGCTGGCTGGAGGTTCCCCTTCCCGCTTGGCTGCTGGCCAGGCCGTTACCACCTCCAGGAGCGAGTTCCCGGCTCCGGCGCATCCGCCGCGCTCTGCAGCGCCTGTTTGGAGGCCTGTCCCACTTCCATGACCTGCTCCGGTTCCCTGAGGACACCCATTCCCACGCCGAGGTCTTGCCGGGTGGCAACAGGAGATGCCTGGATGGATGTGGTCCCTCCAGGCCAGTGGGTCTATCCCGGGCAGGCTCCAACGCTGGAAACATCCGTAACGTCCCTGACATCCGAACTGCCTGCCGCCTCTTTTGCAGCCCAGCTGGACACCCAAATAAATAAATAAATAGAAGGCAAATAAATAAATAAATAGAAGGTTGGGAATTAGCCAGGAGTCCTGTCCAGCAGTTTTTGCTGGGAGGATGGGAGAAAACCTCTTCCAGCCATTAATCTGGCTCCAAATTCAAGCTAGTCGAGATAAACTGTTGATAAACAGGAGACACCGATGGGAGAACAGCTGAGTGGGGGCTCGTATTAAACAAGCATCTTTGGGTGAAAGTATCACTCATCTAAAAGGCATCACCATTCATTCATGCTCAATAAAACACAAAATGGTTACAGATAGGGCTGAGGGAAAACGTGGAAGAGAAATGGGAGTAAAGCTCAAGCTGCCAGGCATGAAATAGCACAGGGAGAGGAAGAGGAGAGGAAAACCCATGGTGAAGAGGCTGCTTCACAATTCTGCTCTAGGAGAGCTTCCAGAAGCAGGTTTGAATATCTGATAAATCCCTCCCGGCTGCCCTGCTGCCTGGCAGCCCGGAAGGGGACACGTAGCCTGGGCTAACACACCTGACGTGGCTCAGTTTTCCTTGGAATTGCTGCTTTGCAGGGTGTTTTGCAT